CCCTAGTACCTAGTCAGAAAAATGGAAATGAAGCAATTTGAATGTTCTTTGTAGTTTGCAAAAGCATAGCTCTGTGGTTAACATTAACCAGGTAAGCAGCTTAGAGTACTCACTTCACATGGCTGCGACGTTGCTTTCCAGGAGTTCCTAAAACATTGGAACCAAGAGTCCCTTCATGTGTGTGAGTATCAAAACAGAGCGACCCCTGGTAGGTACAGATTAGTGTCCTACATCTCAAGAATTAAAAAATGGAAGTATACCTGTTTTGAGCGGACACATCTGAGGTCCCTGAGAGCAAGACCTAGAAAATGACAAATGAGGCCCATGAGAAGGCGTGTATTATCAGGTATATTTCCATGTGAATAACATGTACCCTTTCCCACTGCCAAGAACCCCAGTGTCTGCAGATGCTAACCATCCATTAACGTGCTAAACCTCTGTGACATCCAAGTTCACAGGTTCTAATAAACTACTTAAGACCCAGCCTGAGTGAAGTTCTTTGCATTGCTGTCCGTCTTAGGTACCTTTAAGTTGCTGTGTCAAGATGCCATGACCAAGACAACCTATAAAAGAAGGCATTTAATTGGGGGTGGGCGGGGCTTATGGTTCTCTAAGAGTCCATGACCACCATGATGGGAGGCATGGCGGCATGCAGGCAGGGCCTGGTTTTTGAGCAGAAGCTGAGAATTTAGGTATGGAGAGAGCAACACTGAGGCACAGAGAGTGGGGAGAGGGGGAGGTAAAGAAAGTTCTGACTTTGGAGTGATCTTTGGAAACCTCAAAGACCACACCCTGTGGCAACCCTCCCTGCAAAAGGCCACACTTCCATAAGCCTTCCAAAGTGGTTTTACCAACTGGGGACAAAGCATTCGAACAGACAAGCCTATGGGGGTGTGTATTCTCATTCAAACCATAGATATGTCCTGGAGTGCAGGTTGCTTATGGCCCACAATCACACAACAGAATAATATGGACATGAGGAGAATGGAAGAGGGGGAAGACTGAGGTTGAGAATACGGGGGGCTGTGTGAACAATTAGGTACAATAGCAAATCCTCCATGACAGGGAATTTTTTCATCAGATTTTAAAAGTGGAACATGTAAAAATGCATAATTCTCTTTCATTATAAATCTGCCTCCACTAGGGACCCCCATGATGGAAGCCGGGTAACACACAGTCTCTCAGGGCTGCTACATAAAGGAACTCTGCTCCCCAACCTGGAATAGAAGGCAGCCCTTCAGGCAATAAGCCTTGTGAGGGAATGCTGCCTTCGCCCTCTCTCTCCCCAGTCGCCTTACCAATTCTCTTGATTATTTACTTCACATTCTATCTCAAAAAAAATGAGCTAAAGCAAACTTAAATTATACAGCTGAACTTAAAGTAAGTAATGCTATTTCTTAAAACCTTTTAATGAAAAAGAAAGTATGTCTTTGAGAGCTATGAACCAAGCCAAAGGCCAGATGCACACGGGTTAATTTTGGTTTCATTTGTGCCCTTGTCAGTTTCTTCAGACAGTGTGTTATTTATTAATCTATTTATTTTTATAGTTGTTGGTGTGTACCTCATTCCTATTCTTGATTTTGTTTTTTGAAATATTTCATCACTGGTGCATGAAAATGCTTCTAATTCTATGTATTCACATTGCATACTGTAACCTTTGTTGATTATCTTTATCAGTGTTCACCTAAAAGGTTAAAACCCTAAGGTTAAGTTTTCAGCACAATCATATGCACATAAAGGCAATATAATCATACATGTACTCACATACAGGAATATGTCCCTATGTTACTATGATTACTGCTTCTTATTTTTATTAAAGTGCTGCTTTAGTAGTAAAGCTGGTAGGTTGTAGTGATGATAATGATATCAGTAAAACATTGACTACAAAGGTATTTCAAGTATTCTGTGCTCTGCTAATTAGTTGTCTGCATAGAGAAGCGTAGAGATGGAAAATCACTAAACCCACATCAATAGGTATAGCTGGAAATGACAACATTGAAATTTCAGAGTATCGCTGGGTGTTGGTGGTGCATGCCTTTAATCCCAGCACTCGGGAGGCAGAGGCTGGCCTGGTATGTAGAGCAAGTTCCAGGACAGGCTCCAAAGCTACGTAAAGAAACCCTGTCTCAAAAAAACCAAAAAAAAATGATTTCAGAGTATCACAACTTTTGAAGTAAAGTAGAGACTGTCCTCAAACCATGGTTATAACAACAACACGAAAGATCATGGATGACACAGATCTTTTTACTTTGCCAATTTATTTCATGAAATTGATCCAGTGATCTTCATGTAATTTAAGATACAATAAATCATAATTTGGAATACTCCATGCATTTGGCCAAATTCACATGTATTAACCCCAAATTGTGACTTTAACCTTGAGTTTTAGTTGCACCTCTGTTTTAGATCAGAAAGGGTCACACATTTCACTTTGGTTTGAATCTGGACTAGGCTTGTACTTCTATTCTATACCATGGTATCATCTAGAGATCCACATATTCAAACATGAAAACTTACCATCCCCAGCCAAAATTAAAAAAAAAAAGAAAATGTACTAAATGAGATATTTTGGCTTGGGTTGAAACTGGATCCTCTTTCTTCACTTAAATGTTTCTATGTTTCTGAGCTTCATCTGTTGTAAATTAAATAATGCATTTGTAAGAACGAAGAAAAGCAAAAATCATTTCCTCTCAAGAAATTAGTGTTGTCAACTGAACTTTCTGACCTGTTCATAAACCACCTTGACCCCATTCATTCTCCTGCCTGTGTCACGGACTCCCCAGACACTGACTTGCTCACAAGCCATCCTGAAGTCGGAGAGTCCTGGGGCTTTTTTGAGTCACCTCCTCATGCTTTGTACACGTGATCCATATTGCTGGATTTCAAACTGACATTTCATCGTGTGTCCCACCAAGCGTTACCTTAGTCTGTGACTCACTGATGTCAGTTGCAAGTTACCTCAGAGCTGAATTATTTCATATTGGCTGCATGTGCATGTAGCTTTTGCTCTCATAAGTTTTCTCAGTTTGCTCCAGCAATTCACAAGGTCCAGATGGAAATGAACACATTGAACACTTAAGTGCAAATGTTTGCATTGTTTGTGCAGGAAGCAGGACTCATTTCGTTGCACACAGTAAAGGTTGTTTTCCTTTCTGTTAGAAGATCCAAATGAAATAAAATCTTGGCCTCTCTGTTCCCCTGCAGTAGTTAAGCTGAGGCAGCAGATACTTTGGTTTTAATTATTTATGGATGAGCAATGAGAAAAGCCTGCCAAAGGTAGCAGAGGAAAACTAATAGCTGGCATTGCGCATCTGACCTTGAATCCAGCTGATTGAAATTAATTACCCCAAGTTTTAAAATCACAGCCTATTCTATGGGTGGGAATGTCCTTTCCGGGTGATAACGAATAGCCCCACTGTCTTACTGTGTACACTGCTTATCAAAAGTATTTATGTCACAGTATTTGACACATTTAATCTTGGCAGAAGAATAATCTTAATTTGTTTTATTTTTCTCTCTAGTCTTTTGCATATTGTGTTATACTGATTTTAGCCTATGACTTTCTATTTTAAGGTCAGTGTTACTATATGGAATGATTTTTATAAAACCAGCTCAGTTTAGAGCTGACCTCTAAAATACATTGCTAGCCAGAGGTAGAACTAGATTGGCTCATGTCTCCTCTTGCATGGACAGTAGTGTGTACTGAATGAGATCATCTAGAAAAGGAAATTTATTTTTGTTCTTTTTTTTTCAGTGACAAACGCATTTCATTCTTTATTTAGATGTTGAAGCTCTTGCACTAAGTTTTTACAAGCTGGTGAACACTGACAAATTATTTCTCCCACAGAACTATAACCACACATTCCCAGACAGTATAAATATATGGTTGAACTAACATTAACACACATCACCATTTTATCGATTACATAATAAAACAAATGATCAAGTATCCAATTATTAAGTTACATAGCTGAAAAGGCATATAAAATATGTCTACTCAGTTTGTCAGCAGATCCCACGTCTTTTTTTTTTTTGAGGTTGGGAAGAGAAGGGGAAAACCATAATTCAAGCAAGTTGGAAAACAACTTCTGATAGGTATGAAAAAAAACCAGAATTTCAGAAATTTTGATTAAGAATTGGTTAGCTACAACAATGTATCTCTACCTTTAAAAAATTTTACTAAATTAAAGAGCATATTCTACATGTTCTGCACAAGACAAAGGCAACATTATACTAAAAATATTTAATAGCCTCCTCCCATTTTTTTTATCAGGCCCTCCCTGTTAAGTTGCACCTTTGAGTGCAAACATTAAATTAACTATAAGGCTTTTTGTCTGGAGACATTATTGAAGATATGTGCTTCTGTAACAAAGTCGATTTTCAAATGGAGGTTTCCCATAACAGCACAAAACAATATAAAGACATTAAATAATCCACACAAGACTTGCTAAAAAAATTTGATGGCTAATCAAACCTGATGTTTACTGGTATGTGTGGGAGATGTAAACATAGTGTGAGCAGGCAGATAACGACAAAAGCCCTGCAGTGTTTGAAATGATTGAAGGAATACACCATGGAAGGTCTAGAGTGTTCTTAGTTCCTGGAATTTTGGTTCTGTACGATGCTAAAAATATATAGGTATTGTGCTGGGTATTTTGGCACCTAAATCATTCTAAATTCCTTATACACTAATACTCTGGCACAGGAGTATATTTAAGGACATAACTCAATACCGTGTTTTAGGAAAGGTCAATTGGTACAAGTAAAAGCACATTTTAAATGCTGGCCAGCAAAGATCTTTTGCTAAGTATCCAAACGTGTTGATCATAACTCAAATATAAGGTTTCAATTCTGTCAAGCTTGTGGCCAGGTAAAACAGGTTTTTCAATATTACTGTAGAAGCTTCAGTAGACTTATACAATAAGCCACCATGTTGGCTAGCAAATTATGTATGACAAATCAGGTCCCATCTGAGTTCCACTCCCAAGGCGATGGTATCAGGCACCCCAGTTTTATTGAATACCACAGTTGTTTCTATGCCCATTGGAATCCTTGAAGCGCAGCCGCATTTTAGGATGGTACTTCTCCAGATACAAAAGTTGCTTGCTGTTAAAAGCTCCTCGCCACTTTTGTCTTATGAATTGTACTGCATCTTCATATTTCATTCCACCTTCAACTAATGCTAGGGCAACAAGCACTGGAGCTCTGCCAAGGCCTGCAACACAATGGACAGCAATACAGCAGCCAGGTTCTTCATGAAACTTGATCTTTACAAGACTTAACCAGTCATCTACAATCTGGTTGGATGGTGGTGCACCATCATCAGAAGGCCAGTCAAGAATATGAATGCCTTCTTTCTCCACAAGAGTAGTGTCGTAAGTTGCTTCACATACTCTTACTATTGTGGTAACTCTATACTTCTTAAGTTCCTCTATAAATTTGTTTAAGGTCGCATTGGTTGGATTGTGTGTAATAAGGAATCTCATGTTCTTGTATGTGACTTCCACAGGAGCAGGGCGGTTCATTCGAGCCATGTTAAGTTAGTTTTTAAAAAACACCCAGTAGGGTTATGAAAGAATTAAAAAATTGAATACAGAAATGACGCAAAAAAAATAAAAAACAAACAAAAAAAACCCCAAACAACCTGAAGTCTACTTCAATATTCAATATATACTCCACTTGAAATTCTCAGTGCTTTGAGTATGAAATTGGGAGAAATGGGCAATGAAATGAACCTCCTAACAAGAAGCAGTGATTCTTCAATCCAGTAATACTGAGGCAATACAAAGGAAGTGCACTGAGGTTTACCCCATCCAGGTCTGAGCTCTTGTAAAATGCTCTTGCAGATTTCAATACAACACGTCTGTGTCCAGGTTATCCACTCTTATGGGGGCTTCTTGGTGGAGTAGTAAAGAATTTCTACAGTTCACTTGTCTGCATAGAGGTCGTGCTGTGCCTGGCAGTAATCTCCACTGCCCTTCAGAAACTCCATAAATGTGTGACCAAGAACACCACAGAACTGAGGAATATGTCTACTCATTGAAGATTGTGGCCTAATCATACAGCCGGTCCCGAGGCGGCGGCGGCGGCGGCGATGCAGGCGGCAGGGGCACCAGACGACCATGCAGTGAGCTGCCCGAGGAGCGTCCTATTTTTGTTCTTGCTAACTCTAATTAGTCTTTTAAGGAAAGGGTATCTGGTAAGAATGGATATGGTACTAACTCATGAAAAAAAACAACTTAAGCTACGGAGGCTCAGACTGTTTGTTTTTATGCATTTAAACCTTAACCAGGATGTTGCCATCAGCATTCCAGGTGCAGTTTTCTGCGGTCTCTGGGACAGTACATGCTTGGGAACACATCATTTGCAGCTAGGGCAAAGTTCCACAAGAGCAACTTTACTTACAGAGAAATGAAAAGCCCCACACTGGAATGCCAAATGAATCCATGTATAATAAACAATAATTAAACAGGGATTATTAGGGTGGCACATTTACAGTGTGAGAGTTGAAGCCCTGTCAACACCTTATAAAGCCCAGAAAGTAATTCAGAGGAAACATTTGCTCTGGACTGAAGAACAAGGTTTTATTCTTGGGAAGAGAAGGAGATTTGCTATTAGTCTCTTTTGGTCTTCATTACTTAACACAGATTTTCCAGGGTTCAAGGTCATGTAGTATTGTGGAGTCTGAGACTGTTCTTGGTGGAACTTTTCTCATATCCATCTTGTTCTTGTTTACACGTTTCATTAAAAAATATAAGTAACCGAATATTTTGATTTAGGTCAAAATTGCAAACAAGATGATAGCCTTAGAGTATCTTCTTGGGAGATGAGACTTGTTCATCCTTGTCTTTGTCATCTGTTATTTCTCTTTTGATTTATTCTTCAATATACTGGCATTGTGCATTATGCCAGCTGATCACTGTGGCACAGTCAGGAGTAATTATACTTCTTCTGACATTCAGCATTCACTCAAAAACTCCCACACTTTCTCAAGAACCTTGCTGAAGTTCAGCTCTTTTCAGGTTTATCTTTTTGGAGCTGACTTGAATGAAAATTAACCTGAGATGAATTAATGAACAAGAAGTAGGAAGACAGCTTTCTGTTCAATATGCTAACATATGTTTCATGTTCAAGAAACATTAAATATTTTATTTCTTGTATTTATTTATTTATTTGTGTGTGTGTGTATGTGTGTGCACGCACATGTGTGTGTGTGTGTTGAGGAGCATGCATGTGCCATGGCACATGTATGAAGATCAGAAGACAACTTTCAGAAATTGGTTTTCTCCTTCTATCATGTGAATCCTGTAGGTTAAAGTCAAGTCATCAGGATTGAAGTCAAACATATTTACCCATTATCCAACAGTGTATAAAGTTTAGAAAAAAAAGAACAGAAAGCAAACTAACAAACAAACAAAATCCTAGTGACTACAGAGGAAGGAGTAAGTATATCAATGTGTCACACTCCTTACTCTTTTGAAGAAAAGCTCTTTATTTTTTCCTGTGTATTTTACCCTCATATCAAACTTACCCTATGTTCTTAGAGCAACAACTCACTTCAACAGGGACAAATGGAGGCAATCAGATTTGAGAAGGAAGACTATGTTGCCATAAACAACTTTCTTGATTTGCGCCTGAAACCTACGTATCTTTTCCTCATGAAAATATGACTTACGTAAGGAACAGATGCAAATGAGTCAAAATACCAATTAATTTGTGTTTGTCTTGTGCCTCTTATGTGCCAGAGATGTTTTATGAAGCAGAACTAAAAGTGAACAGGTGAGACAGAAAATCTGTCTTCAAATAGCCTTTAGTTAGGGAGGCCATTTACCTCTGAATTTATTATTTCAAAGCCCACAGCATCCCCTCTTAACTAAAGCTGAATTACTGGCCTTGGGTATAAAAATACTTAAGTACATAAAGGCAGAATATGCTTTGTGATGTTAATCCATTATAAACTCCTGTGTATATGTCAATAAAGCACTATTGGCCAATAGGAAGCAAGATAGGTGGGACTAGGAGTCCAGGAGGACTCTGGGTAGGAGAAACACAGGGAATCAAGATGTAACCGCCAGAGGGATAAGACGGCCAGAAACTTCTCCGGTAAGAGAAATACTTAGATTAACAATTATGGGTTAAATACTTAAGTCAGAGCTAGCCAGTAAGAAACAAGCAAGGGCAACAGCTTCATAATTAATACAGCATCTTGTGTGTTATTTGGGGCTGCAACGTGGAAGAGCCCAGGTGACTGGGAGGGGGGGTTACCAAGCTGCTGCCAAGGAAAAGGCTTCTCTCTACAATAAACTTTGGGACTCAATCTCTATGTAGTCTTTTCTAGACTTGAAAATTGGGGTATTTCTCAGGAACAAGAAGAGTTAAGTATATGGCCTGTGCAGAGAGATGTATGGTAAGCTTCTAACTGCATCTCTCAGACAGGTTATTTTTGTTTAACCTCATGCAGGGAAGCTGACAGTATCTTTAAAAACAGGAAAGAAGCTCATCATGTGAGTTCAGGGGTGATGGAGACTTAGCCTCCGTCTGCAAATTTATAGAGACTGAAAATAATTCCCAACCCTCTGGGAAATGAATGAACTTTCAGTTCCAGGAGTCCCGGGGTGAAAGACAAAGAGAGGATACCCTTAGAAATGAGGTAGGGATGCCTCAAGCCAGTGCACAGGAGACTCAACGGTTTTGGATAAACGGGCTTAAGACATAAATAATTCCCTGATTTTTTCGTTCTGTATTAAATTGAATATTTATAGACCAATACATATTTGTGGACCATTTGTTAAAACTTTATTACCTCAAATACGTAATTTTTCCTGATTTCTAATGTGGTAACATTTATCTGCTTTTCTTTCATTTTGTTTTGGATATTCCTTCCCACCCTCAATAGTTCTGAGTGGATATCTTCAGATTTCCTACAATATAACACATTTATCAGAATTTTCAGTTAGGATATAGAAAAGAATTCTGATGTCATCTCTTCAAGCTCTCTTAAAATAAAAGTAGTATGGGTTGCTTGAGATAATAGTCTTTAACTCAAGAGTGTCACGTGTACCATTTAACGAGAGTTATTCACATGAAGACCTGGTGGTCATTGTTCTTACATGGAAATCAGGAGGATCTTATGTGCAAACCTAAATTTGGTGAGTTACTGCCTTCATTTCTTTACCTGTCACTGTGATAAAATGTGACGGAGGTCACCTAAAGGAGAAAGATTGATGCTGGCTCACAGTTCAGATGTAAAGTCGGTCACGGTGGGACATTCAGTGTGGCAAGAGCTTGAAGCAGCTGGTAACATCTTATCTAGGATCGAGCAGAGGGAAATGAACGCAGTCATGTTTGCTTTCTGTTTTATAAATTCAGCATCCCACCCACAGAATGCAACCACTTTCAGTGAGTGGGTCTTCTCCCTTCAATTAACTTCAGATAACCCCTCACGGGCATGCCCAGAAGTCTATCTTTCAGGTTATTCTAGACTCTATCAAATTGACAGTTAACACTAACCTTATCAAGTACAAATTGTGTAACTGTCCTATGTTTCTCTTGTACCTGGGCATATTCTGATGCAGTTTCTCATTTCTCAGCTAAGCAACCGCATGTGTTCCTACCTTAACATGCCAGAGAGCTCACTCCTTCAATTTACCTGAACCAATGATTCCCAGGACGTAAGTAAATAAGTATAAATAAAAATGAGCAATACTGTCTATTTTTTAACCAAAAGATAATATAAATCTTAATAACACATTTTTTAGATTTTAAATAAATCACCAATTTTTTTTCTGTTTCTTGAACCTAGACCTGTATGTTAAAATATTATAGACTTCTGGTTGTATTGCTATGTGTTTACATGCCTCTAAGGTGGAATTTATAGCACAATCTATTATAGTTTCCTGGTCACAATAAGGATGCTATAATGCGTTGGGGGTGTCTAAAGAAATTTTGAGAAATATTAAGAAAGACATTAATTTCTCAGTTGTCTTTGATACAAAATGTATCATATTCCTGAAGTGACAATATCCTTTCATACATTAATTATCCATCATCCATCCATCCATAGATGCATTCATATCTCTACTATTCTACTTATATGACATTTCTTCTTGAGTGGCTAGCAATATAACCTAAGTTGAACTGTTTATGATCTCATTAAAAGAAAACACAAAGCACAACAAACAGAAAAAAATAATCAACAGTCAAAACCAGTCAGATATCAATCATAATTTACTCAAACCAGGCATCTAATACAAAATGCCAAGGCTCAAGTCATGCCTCTACAGCAGTGGTTCTCAACCTTCCTAATGCTGTAATCCTTAAATGTGGTTCCTCATGCTGTGGTGAGCTCCAACCACAAAAATATTTTTTTGCTGCTTCATAGCTGTAATTTTGCTAGTTGTGAATTATAATGTAAGTAATATCTGATATGCAGGATATTTGATATGAGACCCCCCAACACACATATACAAAGGGGTTACAACCTACAGGTTGGGAACCACTGCTCTACAACTTTCTAGCTATATAGCTTTGGACAAGTTTCTAGGCATCAGCTCTCTCAATTGTAGTAGGTTAAGAAGGCATGCTGTGCTTGGGAAACACTGAGAAAAGCACATGACTCAACCTATTTGATTTTTATTGAAAGTGCAAAGGCTGAGAAAGGACTAAGAAAGATACCATATATTCGAAGGGTTTCAAATGTAAACTGTTGATTGTAGGAGATAAGAGTTAAGATAAGATTGTGGATACAGGTGTTACCTAATAAACAAGGCTAAGGTACAGAAATCAAGGGCAATTTAGAAAAGGCTGTTTGAGGTGACTGAGTTAGGAGAGATAGGGGAAGCTGGGTTACAAACCAACTTGATATCATGTCACCCTGAGGTATTTTTCCTTAAGGTATATGGATGCTTTTTAAGAGCAAATAACTCCTGTGTCTTACAGTGTTCACTTGAATTCATCTTATTGCATTTTATATGTGACACACATAAAACATTGTGCAAGCTCCATATATATAGAAAGCTAACTATAAATAGATATCATAACCAAGTAAAACTTATAAATTAAAAACAGAGTCACTGAAGTATT